TAGAAGACCGTAAATACCTGTCAGAGTAGGGTGTGATGACTGAGATGTTGCTGTGGTCCTCTGGGTTCCACGTTAGCAGCTCATCTGTCCATACCAGCTTGAAGTACACGTTGAGTCGTATGTACTGTTGTGAACAAAATAACAGAAAGTTCTAGAGATCAGATCAGATCAGATCAGATCAGATCAGATCAGATCAGATCAGATCAGATCAGATCAGATCAGATCAGAGTTTTTGTCCCTTGCAACACAGATACGTCTAGATAAGATAAGATAAGATAAGGTACGGTAAGGTAAGGTAAGGTAAGGGTTTTTGTCCCTCAGATAAGTCTAGATAAGATAGGATAAGATAAGATATGAGTTTTTGTCCTTTCCGACACAGATAGAGCCCTATTCGGAAATCGAACTGGGGTCTCCTGGGTGTAACAACGAGGCGTCTAACCGCTGCACCAAAGACGCTGATTAGAATAAAATACTTTTCCCCCCCTTTTGGTAAGTGTTTTACAGAGCTCGCAACTGCATAAGGTCATATGAGCGCGCGGGACACATTAAACACTTTCAGTTGGTAGGAAATTAAAATTTTGAATTTTTTTCGGGTGGCGCCGAAGCCTACTCTTATCAATTTTGGACCACCAAGGGATCTTCAATGTGCGCAGCTTGCACACAGGACCTCCGAGATTTCTCGCCCTTATCCGAGAAGTCTTGGTGTAGATTTTACCTACCAGAACATCAGGGGTGTGGATGAAAGACAACAGACGGAGCCGAGGAGTAGCAGTACAAAAGCTGCAGAAAGAGACAGGAGTCCAGAGGATGGCGCAAAGGGGGTGAGGGGGTCGGGAAAGAAAGTGGAGACGAAAGCAGACGACAGAACAATAAATGACATTGTTAGAGAGTGAGCAGGAATGGATGCGAAAGGAGAACATTTCAGACAAGAAAATTTACCGTCGCTATCTGGATTCGAACCTGGGACCTATTGAATGAGAGGCGAATACCTTAACCTCTAGACCACGAGAGCCCCCCCCCAGAAAAAGATAGATAACATTTTATTGATCTTCAAATAGAAAATTTGCTGCGGCATATGTACACGCACGAACTTGCACACGTCTACATACGCACACACAC